CACACACATTCTTTGCCAAGATGAGCACTAATGTAATTCTGTATTCTTTGTATTCAGAGCTGCTCTGAAAAGGCAGTGACCTCTCATCTTTTGTTGTGGAAACTGATTCTGAAGCAAGCTGAGGCTGTTAAGGAAATAAACATTGACAAAATCAATGCTGAAAGGACAGGAACTTTCTACTGGCAGGGTAGATGTTGCACTCTGTGTTATGTAGAGTGTGTGCTCTTATTAACCTGAGTCATGTGGCATGTAGTTGTTGGTTATGACTATTCTTTAAGACAAACAAACAAATAAACAAACCGAAACCAAACAACAATAACAAAAACCTTTAAGACTTAGGAATGCAATGCAGCTATGCCAGATTTCCCGATAAAGTAAATAAACAATAAGATAATATGTACTAAAAATGACATGTTTGTGATTTTTTTTCTGATGGCTAGGTATCTGCTGATGCTTAGATCTGAAGGTAGTGGCTGAATTCCAAACCCCAATATTACTCCTGAGTAATGGTTCATGAAGTTTAGCATCACTGAGGTTAATGATGGGATGGTGCTTTCTGAAGTATACGCCTTGCTGTAAGAAGCCTTGATTCATACAAAAAACTCTTCCATCTGGTGACAGAGAGGACCTAACTTTTTACTGGGATGACTGAAAAAGAATTTGTGTGTATGCTCCTGGATCATCATTTGTATCTGTTATGAAGAAAACTGACAACAAACCCTCTGCGTGACTTAGGTAGTGCTGCTTCTAAGTTCCTCCAGGGCAGTCTCAGAGGCACTGGGGGTTTCTAACCTTGACACAAACTGCTTTATGGGCTCCTGACAATTAGATGTTTTGTACTGGTGGTGGCTATATAGACACCCTCCTGAATTTAATTCTCAGGACATTCAATATATAATTTATATGCATATATTTTATAATACATATAATATATATATATATATATATATATATATATATATATATATATATATATATTATATTTATATATTTTATATATAATACAATGATAATAAGAGAGGTAATCAGTTATAGATACAGATAAGATAAATATATAGATATAGATATAGATATAGATATAGATATAGATATAGATAAGAGAGGTAATCAGTAATAAAAGAATGTATGCCCAAACCTGTAGACCTCACCCCAGGCTAGTAGTTTAGGGAAACACAGAGTTTCCTCAATAGTTACTATTTGATGATTTTCATTGGCCAAGATTTACAGGGCCTGGTCAAGTCACTGGTACCCTTCAGTAGGTTGAAATGGTGTCTCTTTCTTCTCTAATGCCTAACACTGTCCAGCATATGTTTTTTTTATCAGCAAGAGGCAAGGAGTTGGGCGGTTAGGTATTTCTCTATTTATACGAAAAAACAAACAAACAAACAAACCACAAATCTATTTATAGGAAAAAAAGAAACAAAAAGCATTTTGCAAAACAAACCTGGTAGTGCTTTGTTAGTTAGTATTCATTGCTGTCTTCTGTTTTTTTCTATGACCTGATTTTAATTTGCATTGATTTCTTTTTTTGACATCTGAAGTCCAATTATTTCTAGGCTGTATTTCTAGGAAGACTATTGTTGACATGTAATCTCAGAAAATGGAACTACCATGCTGCTTTTACTTTAATATAAATTGCTGTCCAATACCTTCAATGAATGGAAGATTAAGTTTTTCTAGCCATTGTTTTGCAGCCCTTTTGTATGGAATCAAGCCAAACACGAGAAGACTTTGGCCTAGTAAGAAAGCTGGTTCTTCACTCAGATAATGTGCTTTGGACACAGATGAAAATGCCTCAGATTTTTTTATTGTAAAAAGGAAAGATTGAATTTTTTAGAACCTGTTTTAACAGCATTTGGTATCACACTCTGGCCTGTTTTGTACATGTAATTATAACTCACAGAGTTAAAGATACAGAGAGAATATTTCAGAATTTTCAGTTGTGTTTTTCTGCTGCAGCATTCAGAACCATATTTGTGATACTGATGTAGCACCCTTATTCAGCTGCGAGGATGTCCACAAAGCCATATAGAAATGTGGCCTTGCACAGTTACTGTTTTGCTGGTTCCTTCCTTCATTTCCTCAGAGATACTCTTTCTCTTGTTCCAGGTTATGACTCGGGGGTGTCTCATCACAGAGGCTAGATACTCACAGATCTCTGAGGTATTTCCTCTCCCATGTCGAAGCTGCTTTTTGAATAGGATTGCTGTAAGAAATCTTGAATTTTTGAATAGGATTGCTGTGAGTTTTTGTTTTGGCAGGCAGAATTAGACCTAAGTCAGACTAAGAGCAGTGTGCAGTTATTAATTTCCAGAGAAGCTCAACTTAACAATTCCTGATACCCAGCAGAAGTGATTTTTCTGCCACTATTGCTAATGAACAAGATTTTGCATAAATCATTATTGGAATCAGCAGAAAAAAATATCAAATTACTAGGCAATTGCACAGCAAGGGAGACTTCATTTTAACGAACTTGCTGCCAGTTTAGGCTGAAGCAGCGTTTTTTTAGTAACAAGTCATGATGAAACAGGAGAGTCAAAACAGACACAAGCACTCCATTTTGTTTCAGACAATTCATCTGAAATTTGCACTTATATCATCGAAAATGTTTCAATTTTATCAAAATATTTTGATGAGCTCTTCTTTTAAACCCTGTCATCTGAATTGCTAACTCTTAATTACAATATCCTGGTTAGTTACCAGAATATTACTGGTGGATAAATGAGCACAATGAGGGAATTCAGGCAGCTCTAATGTTACAGGAAGCCTTTACGAGCCTAAGGAGTATGAGATGTTTTTAGAACTGCACTGAATTTCTACCTCCTCTCCTAACATAAGACATGAAATCTATGGATTTCAGAGAAGCTCCATAATCTGGTACCAGGTAAGAAATTGCCTCAGCATATTTCATAATTTGTCCTGTTATAAACATGCTCTATAATGTAACGAACAATAGCTCATTCAGGAACAAGCAGTTCGTAGCACATTGTTTTCTCTGTACAGAGGTACAACTGCTGATTTGATTAACAGTGCCCCAAAATAAACAAGGCAACATTGGTCACATGAGTAGGAATGGGTCCCCTGAAAGAACATGTTTTTATTTTCCAAAGTGAATGTGCTCGTTATGATTCTCTTCAAATAGCCTTGCTGCCTTAGTTTTTAGTTTTACCATCACATCCAATTGATGCACACATAGATGTACTTAAAATGATATATGCTTTTGGAAGGAATTAAATACATAAATTTGAGAAGTGCTGCTTTAAGAAAGTCTTTTTTTTTTTTTTTCTTTTTTTCTTTTTCCGTCAATAGTTTGCTTATGAAACAATCCAGATTCCCTCTCCTTAGACAAATTTCTAAAATGCAGAGAATGGAGTATGCAAACAAAATCTTATAGAAGCTTCTGATGAGTTTATATGATTGCATATTGATATTGTATGCCGAGAAGCATGGTCTTGGTTAAATTTGTTAACAATCTTCCCCATTTTCTCTGCCCATTTGAACTATATGAGTTATTTTTCCAAAAGTATTTGGGTTTTCTTTTTCTTCTTCTTCTCTCTCTCTCTCTCTTTTAATGAAGTGGTAATGAACTGAAATAGCACTGTACAATATCTGAGTTGGAAAACCCAGCTGAGAAATGAAATGAAGAAATTAAAAGCCCTTGGAGAGAGGTTTTAAAGCCTTTGTGCCACTAAGTTAAATGCACCCAAATAACCACAAAGTTCTAATAGAATACTAATGTAGGTTAAGTAACACAAAAGCTTGTTTTGGTTATAGTCTGATACATTTTGTGTGTGTGTGTGTGATTTCATTCAGGAATATGAGAATTCTGTAACTCAAAGGTGATAATTTTTCCAGAAGTGTAAAGGATTATCATCCCTTTTGAGATGAGGAAAGATAGACTAATTACTTTGTTGGTGACAACGCAATGTCCTTTCCCAAAGCTGTTATCCCACCATACCTCTGCACCCTGTGGCCATTGGAAAATCTGGTCTGAGCTGAAGAACGTCAGAGCTGCATCGTAGTCTCAAAACACTTCATACTGCAGGAATAAACTAACAATGTGTTTTGCAGTAAAGCCTTCCAGCACTCTCCCTTGTCATTGCGACACACTTATAACAGTAAATAGCACTTTAAGATGAGGGCTGTTGTGTTTGAACCCTCTCCTGCAAGCATGTGATGGCAAAGCAAACTGACACATGGGAGGGCACAAAGGCTCTTTCAGACAGTTCTTCCACTGCAAGGAGGAGGACTTGGAGGCCTCACTGACACATCAGTCATAAGGAAATTGTTTCAACCATCAGCATGCTCAAAACAATCACAGTTGGCTGAAATGTTTTGATCTGAACTCTTTTTGACTCGAACATATTTATCTGTCTTGCTAGCATATTCAGTCTAAAAGAAAAGAGGAAAAACAGGGGAAAGGTATTGCCCTTTGGCAATTTCACTTTGAAATGATCCGTGTTTTTTATTTATTGTTTAATTTGAAATTTATTTCCTTTTATCACATGAGTTAGAAAGAATGCTGGAAATCAAAACCAGATCAGCTTTAAATTAAGTTTGACTTCTTGTTGGTGTACTTACATTTTATACCTATGCAAACAGATTTTTTTTAGTTCTGGCTTCTGGCAAACTGAAGGTGTTGTGAGCTGCATCTAACAACAAAAGAGAAAAGGAGTGTAGCAAGGGCCACAGTAAAACACTCTTGAAGACGCATACAGAATAATTTCTGCAGAGAAATAAGAACATGAAATGATGTTAGGGAAAATAGCGCAGAATACATAGCTAAAGGATATGCTATTTGCCAAGGGAATGCCTGCTATAATAGTAAGAAAACAGATATGAGTCACCCCTCGGTTTCATTAGTTTCTTAATGTTGTCATTTACGCGGGCCTGAGATGCCATTCATACTGATCTCACACCAATATTCCCTGTTAGCTCAGGATTTACTCTTGATATTAATACTGATATAAGTATGAATCTTTTTTTTTCTTTTTTTTTTTTTTTTTTTTAATGTCAGTTCTTGTGGTAATAGCAGAGGCTGGCTGCTCCAAACCTTTTATTTTAAAATGTCATCAAGAGGCAAAGGCTTAGATGATGTTAACCTGCACTTTGATTTCAGTGCAGTGCTGGTTATATGCACTCTGAAAATACAGCCCAAGGTCAGTAACAATATTGACAGAATGAGCACCCATTCAAAGTTCAACATTAAAGAGAAGTTAGCATTGCAGGCACAGGCACAGTAATATTTAACGCAACCATTTTTTTTTTTTTTCCCAGTGGAACATAAACCTTATCCATTCATCCAGACCTACCATATATTCAGGTATGTAACAACTGCAATTGATATTCATTGAAAGGTTTTCATAACAACAATGCAGTGTATATTGATCTATTTGTGGATTATGTTGTGTGGCTGATTTGAGTCTTTCTCAGCTTATGGTTAGCATGTAAAAAAAAGAATATAGAAATAAATTTAAAATTCCGATAACATGTGCCAGAAGTGGTGAGTGTGAGTCATTTGTTTATTGTGTTGATAATAATATCCATTTAACTACCAGGATTAATGATACTCTGATAGAATATTGCTCTCGGTCTAAGTAACAATAAATACGCTAATGTGAAACAAAGCAGGAATTCTCCAAGCACTTATAAGGTTTATTACTTCTTGCAACCATAAGTAAAGGACTAAACCTGTGTTTCTGTTGTGTGTGACTGCATTTATGCTGAAACTGCATATAATTTTGAATCAATAGCATAAGATTACACATGATATGCATTGGGGTACTCTGTAAAGCTAAATATGTGCCATCTATTAAAAATATCCTAAGAATAATTTTGTGTTTTTTAGGATGATTTGGATTTATCAGACTTTTTATTTCATTTTCTTACTTGCTTCAGTTTATGGTGGTAAGTCAATATATAATTCCTAAGACAGGTACACAGAGTAATGTAGCTCATCTGGAAGGGGAGATTAAAAAGAGTAATATTCAAATGGCCTAAACATTTTTATGCAGAGTGAGTAGAGCTACAGAGCAGCATGATTTTGGTGGGGGGACACACAGTCCTAAGTGCAACCTAGTCCTGAGAGAGTGGGGTTACACTCAGTTAATTTTGGGTAACTCACGGAGGATGGAGGTTTCTAATTGTTTTTTCCATCCCTGTGATAGGGATTGAAGTTTCTAATGGGCTTTACTGACATTTTTCTTCCAACCTTCCCCATGCTTTCACCTTGCCCAGTGCACCTGGGACCATGCTGTAGGCAGTTTTCTGTCAGACCAAGGCTGTATCAAACTCTTCTCTGTGAAACCAATACAATCTTCAGAAAGTTCTGTGCACCCAACAGCAAAGCTAACAACGTGGGCAGCCAATTAGGAAGGGAGCTGCTTCCTCCCTGCACAAATTAGTGCCCTGTAAAGCTGGCAGTGATTTGTGTTGGTGCTGGGGTGCATTATGACTGTGTGTGTTTTTCAATGCGTTAATGATTTACTTTGGTTTGTAAAAGTCAAAATTTTCTTTGCACTTCCCTGAAGTTCCCTGTGCTGATAAATTATAACTAAGGCCTAACACAGGTTTACATTCAGTAATGTGTTATCTGTTTTCTCAGAGGACAATGAGGTAATGCAGCTTTTTAGCAAAATATCTTTGACAAATGTACTATTATTCCAGAAACATTTTACCCAGATTAAAATCTCAGTAGAACTGAAATCTTGGAACATATCTAAGGCTCAGGAAATAAATATCTTTATTAAACTAAGGTATTCAGAGCTGGCCTAGTTTTATGTGGTATTAAAAGTCAAACATAATATTAAACTCCATGATTTTTTATTTATTTTTAATTTTTAGGGCATACCAACTTACATTAATAGATGGTAAATAATATCCAAAATGTCTGATACAACAATTGCAATAGTCTTTTCATTTTACTTCATAAATAATTTAAAGTTATCTAAGTAATAGAAAATGCTTTTCTGTTGGTGGCAAAGTTGGGCAAAGAAATTCTATAAGAATAATAACAAGTACCAGTTTTTAAACAGAATAATAAATACCAGTTTTTAAATAAAGGTCATGAAAATGTCTACACCAGAAAATTCTGGATATTTATTTATTACTATTCTGGATATTTTAACAAGGAGATCTGACAAATTCCTTAATTTGGAAAGATGGGAAGGGCTGCCACTTAGCTACTTTCATTCCAGTCACATGGCTGTGCAGCGTGAGTGGACTTTATTAGAGAATTCAATATGGGATTGATGAATTCCTGAATATCTGAGGTGGTAATCCACTTTATTTGTATTCTAGGAGATTCTTGAGATATTGCTCCTGGATCAGTACTTTTGTTGTTAAGAAGCAAGTCAGACTAGGTTTGAGGCAGATTGTAAGGAAGTATCTGAAGCTAAACACAGTGGCACTGACTGTGAATCTGGCCTCAAAGCATCACTCAGCAATAGGACAATCTTCACATACAATTTTCTAACTCTCTTTGGTCTCTGTACATCCTCCTGGTTTTCCTTTTAATGGCTCTCTATACTGGAAGATATACCTTGGAAGATGCTTCTGCTGCTCCTGAGATCTGCCATGAGTGGCACTTACCTCGTGGCCTCATGGCTGACCTTGCTGCTAGGGCTTCTGTCACTGCTCAAGCTGCCCTGCTCCAGCCTTGGGTGTGGGGTGAGGGAGAGGACAGAGATACCCCAGACAGTTTTATTTCTACCAGGCTGGACAGCAAGTACGAGACTTTCAGAGGAATGGTTCTACTCGCCCCCCTTGCCCTCTTCTCCTGCCAAAGGAGTCAAAAGCATGGTCAATGTCAAGAAGGGGCAGTGGCATCACCCTCTCCTGATTAACTGTCCATACTCCTATCTCTAACAATTTACATATTTTGTTATTCCATATCAGAATGTGTGACTCAGATCTATGAAAATACATACTTCCAAGGAGGAGACCTCTCCACAGTTTTCACACCAAGTGCCAATTACTGTCAAATAGTGTGTACTTACCATCCTACCTGTCTGCTCTTCACATACTTGCCAGTGACATGGACTAAAGATCCTGCAAAGAGGTAAAATGCTCGTATTCTTGTGGATTTTGCTGGTGTCCTGTGATAATGTTAGGAGCTCAGTAACATTTTGACAGAACATAGGCATGCAGAGAAGGCTACAAGGTTGCCAAGAAAGACAATGCCATGCATCTTTAAAAACGATAATCTAGAAGAGTATTTGCTGAACTTTGAAAGATTAAATTTGGCAACAGCGAATCTTTCACACTCACATACCAACCCTTCCAAGGAAATAGCACCTGCAGTGTGCTTCTTCCTCTGTGCCACACTTATTGCTGAGGGACCATGTGACCAATTTTATGTCTCCGGTGATCCCCTCTATTGCACCCCTCTTCCCTATCTGTTCTCTTCAGAATATTTTTCTCTTGATTTAGTGTCAATAGCCTGAGATGAGGCTGCCTTTCCTCTGTGTGCCCAGTGTGTTTCTTTCTTTCTAACCCAGTTACAAGTGGTGGAACAGGGCTGTGCTTCTTGCTTGAAGGAGACCTTTTGGAGCTTTCACATATACCATGTATTTTCATTTGCCACCAAGCATGCTAATGCCAACAGAGCAGCTGCAGTTTTACCCTGTCTGTCTCTAAATTGCTTTTATTGTCTTCATTTTCATGTTGAGGAACAATGATCAACTTGCATTTCACCTCAGAAACTTTTAGGAAGGACTGTGTTATACTGAAAAACTGTGAATTGCTGCATTTTAAAACACAGGTTTTCCTGCTACTTAAAAGACAGTGATACTGAAATGTTGCCAAAAGTGGATATGGAAGGAGCTGTTTCTGGACATTCTTTAAAACAATGTAACATCAAAATTAGTGGTAAGATATAGCTATTCACATGTATGAATTTTATCATGTAGCAGATATTTTGAAAACAGGAACTGAGTTAGGAAGCAGCCAGGCAGTGAAATCTATGTCTTTTGCTATATCTCTTTCATACACGACTTAACAATCTTCCACTGTTTTCAACTATGCACTGCTAAGGCTCCACAGAAAAGGGGAGTGGGACCTCCAGCTGCCATGGTTTCATTTGCTAGAAGCAGATATATAACTGACACCTCCAGTCGTAAAGATTAATTTAAAGAGCTAAATGGGTCCTACTTGATGCAAATTCGCAATTGCAGCTTATTGATAGATCAGTTGTGTTTACTTCTGACTGGAACAAGCCTTTCATGGCATTCAGGACTTTTAAAAGCCCTTTTGTACCCCATCCTGTTTAAAAAACCCACCAGGGTTTGGCTTACTCATGTGTTCTGTGAAAAGACCCTATTGACCTTAAGGTGAAACCTGTGGGGGCAAAATCTATGTCAAACTCCATGGTCAAAATTTTGCCTTTATGCAATGTAAATTGAATCTTTTGGCTCAAATGGGAGATGGCTGTTGCTTATCAGAATATATTTGGAGTTTTGAACTGTCATATAAATTTGGAAATAGATAAGTATGTGTTTTAGTATTAATCCTGAGTTCTTGCATGATTAACTTCATCATGATCTTGGTGTAGGTAGAGGCAGTGTCAAAGTCTGTCAGTTTTTCCTCTGCCACGTTATGCCTACACTTCTGATTTTGTTACTAGAGGCATATATGAAGTGTGATGTAGCTGAAGTGAGCACAGGAAGTGACATTAGGATTACTAGGGCTTTGCTGTATGAACTGCCATCTTTTGGGCAATTTGGGGAAAAAAAAGAAAGAAAAAAAAGAAAAAAAAGAAAAAAAAAGAAAAAAAAGAAAAAAAAGAAAAAAAAGAAAAAAGAAAAAAAAAAGAGAGAGAGAGTAGAAGAATGCTTTCAGAACTTTGTCTCTTTCTTTTTCCACAGCTTGCAGCCCAGATGTCCACATAGGTCTCGATATGGAAGGGGAAAATTATGACGTTACTGTGGCTGAGAGCTATCAACAGTGTCAAAAAAGATGCACCAATGATGACCACTGTCATTTTTTTACATATGCCTCAAAAACTTTTCACAATGAAAGCTTTCGGTAAATACAGGTTTGATCCCTTTTCTTGGTCAGTGCTGTGCTTTAGTCAACAAAATGTCAACAACAATGTCAGAACAGTCTAGGGTGAATTTATTCAAGGAAATATATATTTTTTTCCTTGACTGCTAATCCTTGTAATGTTTAATCAGACATACTGGTAGGAAAATATCTGCAGTAAGTTAGCTTTCATCTGTCCATTGGTGAGAAAGAAAAACTTATCATAGCACTGAAAAAAAAATATTCCCTGGAGATATTCAAATGCAAACTATTGTTCTGCAGCATTATTGCTCAGTTAAATCTTGCTCTGCTTATTGCTTATTGAAAATAACATCATCAGTGCAACCAGAGACATTCTTTCATATTTACTTGGACTATTTTTGAGCTGTTAGCCTGCTCAGTTTTACAAGTTAAACGTTGTTCAATTGGATATGTTTCTCATTTGAAGGTTTTTATGGATATTGGAGGTTGCTGTGGCCCATGGTAGGAATTAGGAAATCAGAAGATTGATGTAGAGTAAGGAAGATGATCTGTTGTCTTACTTCTTTCTTTATTCTTTATCACTCAGTGAAAAATGCTTCTTGAAACATACCAGGTTAGGAACTCCAACCAGCATAAGGGTGCTTGATGAGGTTGTGTCTGGATTCTCCTTAAAGCCATGTCAGCTTTCTGAAATAGGTAATTAAAAATCTCTGTTGATTTAGTTTAGATTCAAGTGTTATGTATAATGAGGTGCAGTCTGTCTCTGACATGATCAATGTTTCATTTCGTAAAAGAATTACAATATTTTTCTTGTAATTACAAGAATTACAACTTATTCTTGGAATTACAGTTAGTACTCTCAGGCACAAAAGAGTTTTTAAATATATTTTTTTTCCATTTTATTATTATGTGTTGCAAAAACAGTTGTCTGCTTTGGAGATTGAAGAATTCTTTCACTAGATTAGCCTGATGAAACTGCAGTTTATCTTTGCATCATAGATACAAAAATGAAAGATAAAATCCCGTCAAAGGACAAGAGGAATATAAATCTTTCTAAATTCTGTTGGTATACCATGTATGTGCTTAGAAGTTTTTAATGAAGACCTGCAGTTTTCTGATACAACTGCCTAATATGAAGGAACACTGTGTTCTGCAGGTGATTTTGATGAAAGCAGTGTTTGTGCTACTTCTTGTAATCATTACTCAGGCAAAATTCTTAGATCAGACTGTATGAATTATATCTTCTTATTCTTAATCAAAACATCTTCAGTTCATTTTGTTTGTTTTAATTCTACCTCCACCTTATCCTACTGTCTGGTATTTTCCCTTCTGAACAGTGATGACATTATACTTCCATGTAGCCTTATTTTAGTTCACAGTTAATGTAGTTTTCCCATACAAATCACTTTTTATATTTCCTAAACTTGCTGAATCTTTCTTTCTATATCAACATGTTTTATTCAGACTCTTTCAGTCCTACTGGAGGAATAATCTTTGGAAATTATTGAAAAAGTAGTTGATTCAGATCTTAAGAATGAGTGCACTTACAGAAAAATGAAGTGTGAAGAATATAAAAGGAAGAAAAAGGTTTGTAAAGAGAAGAAAATTTGGCTATTCTCTCTCTGTCTCTAAGAAAGGATGGAAGGAAGGTTATTTTACAAATTGCTCCATTAAGAGAAACTAGGCAGATAGATTCATTGTTAGGAGAAAAATCCCAGTACTCTGGAGGGTCCTGGTGATAGACTTTGAGAAGAATCAGAGGACTATAGCACATGGACAAACAATATGATATTAAGATAAAGTCAACAAACACTTGAGACTTCATCAAGGATATTTATGGTTTATGACAGTGGTGACATGACATTAATGATCTATCTTTAAATGAAATCAGAATTTCTGAATGCATGTGAAGTTCAGCCTCATTTCTACCCGTCTGTTCTTGCTTTTTCTGTCTTGCAAGAAAGGCAAGAGGAAGGGAGAGAGAAGAAATAAATCATGAGATCATAGAAGCCTAGACAGTACTGTTGGATAACAAGGTCATCTAAAGAGGTCATTTGTTCTAATCCAAGACAGATCAATTCTACCTGTTCAGATAGAGGTTTGTCAAAAATATTTGTAAATTTCGGTGTCATCTCCTGTCTCATGTTGTAAATATCTGAAATGGATTTACTTGAATATTTGTTCTACCTTTTCATTACTGTTTAGGCTCACTAATCCTACATTGTTTATGTTCTAGCTTCATCGTTTTAAATACAGATGCTGTACTTCCCCTTTCAAAGTGTTGGGAATCACATCTATCCTCTGTGAACACCAAAAACTAAATTCTACCAAGAAACTTTGAGATTCCTTCAATCAGATTCTAAGAACACTGAAATCATCATTATTATGGGATTTCTCTATTTCCTGTTCTAACATGTCCTCTTCCCTCTGCTCAGTAATGCTAATGTTATTGACCATCTAACTGCAGTTTGTTTCCATGAAGAGAGAGGCTGTTCTTAAGCTTTTCTTGTGTCCTCTGTCATTAACTTTACTTCTTCCCTGAGCAGAATCCCAGCTCCTTTCCTAATGCTAATTATTTGGAACTGAATAAATATTTTTCTTTTGAGAATTTGTTCCTTGCTGCTTGGCCTTTCATTTTGTGCCTTTGCCTTTCTGATTTTGCCCTTATGCACTCATGCTATTATTTGTCCATAGTAATTTGTCTTACATTCTGCCTTTTGCAAAGTGCCTTCTTTGAGGCCATTGAAGGTTCTTGGGTTTGTGTCCCTAAAATCCATATTTCTATTTTGAATATCATTTCCTCAAAAAGCTATTTGCTCTCCTGAACTCTATTTAGTCTTTAACAGAGGGTCTTACCTACTAATTATCAGAATTAATTAACCCTTATTTTCTACTCTCTCTCTCTTTTTTTTTTTTTTAAGTGTTGTTGTTGATTTGTGTGTTTCTATTGTATAATTAATGTCCTGTATTTTTTTTTTTTTTTTTTAATTCATCAAATGATCAGGAGTCACATTAAGATCTGCCTCTCACTTTTACTGCTTTTTTCTCTTCTTTTCATTTTATCAGTCACAAAGGAAGGAAAATGTGAAAAAAATACAAATTAATGATTTGTAAATCTTAATATTCTGATGACAGAAAATCATCGGAATTTTGATACTCTGTTCTTCTTTTATACAGATTGTAAAATGGACCTTTTTGAACATCAAGAATTTTCAGGAATGAATGTTACAAGTTTCTTCACTCCTGATACCTCTGTCTGCCAAACTATTTGTACTTATTTTCCAAATTGCCTGTTCTTTACATTTTTCACCAAGGAATGGCAAATAGCATCACAAAGGTGAATATGAGAACTTTTAATTCTCTAAGCAAATATTAAAAACAACCACCACACAACGACAAAAAAACAAGAACAAAACCATGAAAAAAACAACAGCCCACAGCCTTTTATAACCAACATTTTATTGTATTTATGGAAATTCTTGTTAAGGGGTTACTTTCAGTAAAACACAGTTTTTTATGTGTTGTATTCATACATTTATAGTTTTCTGTCAGCATTTCATCTGTCCTCCAGTGTGACCAGGGATCTTGTGCTGTAGCTGCATATCTGGGATTGCTTTATGACTTAAAGCTGAGTTTTATGAAATTGTAAAGAGGCATCTGGTTTCCTGTCAGTATTGTCATTTACTTGAAAAGTTCTTGGATGATATTAATGTTTTTGAAAGTGTTTATTTTTACAAATCGAAATTCCTACTTTCATATCCAGTAGTGAGAGGAATTCAAAAACTACGGTCAACAGAAATCAGAGGTGGAAAGCACATTTGAGAAAGAACCATCCCTTACCTCAACCTAAATATCAATTTTAGGATGTGAGAACAGATAACAGATTCAGTTATTTAATTTTTTTTTTTTTCATTTCAGAAATCTTTGCCTTCTGATGACATCAACAAGTGGAACACCAGAGGCACTTACGTTACGAGAAAATGCAATATCGGGCTTTGGTCTCCTAAATTGCAGAAGATACTTTCCTGGTAAGTAATAAATTGCATTAAGAGTATGTCTTTTGAATTAATGAAATTAATAGACCTATTGATGCTTGGAACACACTCATTTTTACAGCCTGCAATTCTCGCACTTATGTGCATATGAATTTTTTGGGAGATGAACTCAATGTCACTTATACAAAAGGACACAAAGCCTGTCAGCAGGTTTGCACAGACATGATCCGCTGCCAATTTTTCACATACTTTCCCCTCCAAGATTCATGCAATGAGGAAAGGTAAGATTAAAAAATGTTTAAAGATTTCTGAAAGAATCCTTCCACAAACTTAGGGAAGGGATATAATGTATGTCTTCTGTGTAAGAAGTGCAAACTGAATCTTTGCATTAATTTATTATCAGGAAGTGTGAGTGTCATCTAAGAATGTCCTCAAATGGATCTCCAGTGGAAATAAAACATGGGCCAGGAAGGATCTCTGGATACTCACTACGATTATGTAAAAAAAAGGCCAGTACTGGTAAGTAGAGCTTTCATTTAAGAGAGACATTGTTTAACTGATTTTTGTGCAGAAAGCCTAAGCCTCCATATTTTATTTTTCTTTCTGAAAATTGGTTGAATTGAAATGTTAATGAGACACCTTGTGAAGTTAAAAAGCGTTCTGAAAAAGTGAAGTATGCCCAGCCTGCACACTGTAAACACAGACAGTGGCATTGTGAACTTGGTTAAACTGGACTTTATGATCAAAAATTGTAAAGGGATAGAATGTCTTATGTATCACCTTTGCAGAAGATCAGTCCCTATTTGCAGGTCATCAATAGTATCATCTTCATTTTTCATGGGCAAGTGAAAATTATCCTTAAGCACAGTTTCCAATTATTTCTGTAGTATGCATGCAGCATTCTGCAAGAAATATTAGGATAGTTGGAGGGACAGATTCTTCCCCTGGTGAATGGCCATGGCAAGTAAGCTTGCATGTGAAATTGTTTCGTCGGAGACATCACTGTGGGGGCTCTATCATCAGTAACCAGTGGATTCTTACAGCTGCTCACTGTTTCATGAGGTGAGTCCTAAATGTAAATTTGAAAATGAAAATTTCATCCAGAACGTGAGATAAATTGAGATACACCTTTCAGAAAAAATAAATGTGCATGACAAAAATGACTAGAATAGAATAAAGTATTTCGATGTAACCAAAAGATGAATTTTTAAGGTAGACAATTCATATTCTTGACATAATTGGTATACCACACTTAACCCTTCAAAACATAGTATTGCGCTACTAATGCTAAATTGTTTTAATGCATCTAGGAGATGGAATTCTAAACAGACACCAGATACCTACAGTAACAGGCATTTTCACGCTTTATAATTTTTTTCTTACTGTAATATCATATCACCAAGGAAAATATGTTGTTAATTATTCCATTTCACATACTTAAAATAATTATCTCAAAGATTTGTCTGTGGTACACAGGGAACCAATAGGTACCAATCTGATACCTTCAGCAGCAGGGTGCTCAGCAAAGGCCAGGACACACGTTAACTTCTAGGGGTCCATTTATGTCACTTCTAGTACAAGAGCTACTTTTCTCTGAAGCATTGAAATCCTAATTGTGCTGGTTTTGATTAATTTTCTCTTTTCTATTTTTACCAATTAGTCAATTAACACTCTGATTTTAGTAGAGGTTTCACCTGTAAGGAAAATATTTAGAGCATTGAATGCTTAGAGAATAAAGGCTAATTTCCGCAGAGACATATGGTATGTGTTGCTCGTGACCACAAAATTGCCATCACATTTGTGTCATGAAACCACTTGTATTGTGAAGAGCTGATTTAATCACCATTTCCCTTGATAGATGTTCACCACCTGTAAAGCAGGTTATCATGTCATTTACAGAGTGAAAGTTGTAATATAAAGCTGTATATTGAGTGTGTGTGATGGGAAAGAAGGCATGGGTAACAGATAAAATGCTTCAAATAAGAGAGCATTGGCCCAGCAACATGGGCTGAAATCAGCACTTTTGCTCAAGCAGTGTCATACTTTAACCCTTCTTATGTAGTAATGTTGCCAACATTTGGCTTCCAGTGACAAACCTTATAAAAGTGGTTAAATGCCCTAAAGACTCTGAAAAACCCTGTATGTAGAATAAAATTCTCTACCTGCTATTGAATGTTGTAGAAGCTACCAGTACTATAAAAGGCAAGGGGAAAAGTTAAATCTTAAAATTAAAAATATGAACTGTGTTCATTAGAAACTATTAAAGCCAATTGATATTTAAGAATAAATGAAATCTTCAAATTTTTTGAAAAATTCATATAAGACAGGTTTTACATTTTCCTCAAAGAATGTACTAAATTTTTTTATGTTACCTTAATGAGAGAATATCACAATGAAATATCCCTTAAATGTACTCAAAGTAAAGTTGAAGTCATAAAGGTTAACTGGAACTTTTCATATAGGTCTGTGGTATTACATTTTCTAATCTCTATTTACATTCATTGCAGTGTCTGAATAAACTCTACTTGAATTTGTATTTACAATCCTATTTTGGTTACTACAAAAGCTGTTGTACTGGAATGAATGGGAAGAGTCTCATTTACTTCTTCAGGGCTTGCATTAGGCCCTTGAAGGTAAAAATAACAAAAGAAGAAGAAAAGAGAAAATGAAAGAAGGCGAAAGGGGAAGGAGTGTGAAAAAGAATCAGGATACTGAGATTCTGAACATAAAAGAGAGGGGAGACTGATGTGGGGATGACAATATAACTAGAAAGTGGAACAAAAGAAATGAGAAGTGGAAGGAATGGAAGTGGAAGACAAACCTTTTTAGACTTGAGAGTGTGAAAACGCAAACGGGAAAAGTGACCTCCGTGCTGTTCACGTTATACTTGGGAGGGACAGAGGATGTTGGCACCTGCACACAAACTCTGAATAAGTGTAAATCTTTGTGCCACAGACTGACTGTTTGCCTTTTTTTCCTCAGTCGTCAGAATCCCAACATTTGGCGTGTTTATGCTGGTATTTTAAAACAATCAGAAATAAAAGAGGATACACCTTTCTTCAAAGTGGAAGAGATTATTATTCACCCTCGGTATACATATGCACAGACTGGATATGACATTGCTTTACTGAAACTGGATAAACCTATGAATTTTACTGGTATGTAGTGTATTTCAGAGGTATTCTGAAAATGTGCAGGATGATATAGGCTGGTTTTGGTGTGGCAGTTCATGAAAACTGGGATGGTTTCCCTTAATATTACTGGGTTTTATGGAGAATCTCATTCTCTTGGAGTTGAAAAGAAATTGTGTGGCTTTTATTCACATGACGGGGGAGATATCTACTGTAAGGTACAAAGCATAACATGTAGGCTATCTTCAGGGGCTATGTAGATGCCCATAAAACCTTAATATTGTAGCTGTCTCCACTAGCCAAACTAATATTTTGAATTCTATTTTAGATCTTCAACTACCTATTTGCCTGCCATCAAAAGAAGAAGCTAACATACTTTATACTGACTGTTGGGTAATTGGATGGGGTTACAGAAAGGAAAGAGGTACAGATAAATATTTAAAGTGTGCTATTTTATTTGAAAAATTGTGTTTAAACAAACAAACAGAACCACACCTCCCAAAATACCCTCTTGAGTCTTGAATCCAGGAATTGTGATCACAAGCTACACAAAGAACATGCATTTGCTCATAGCCTTGTTTATATGAATCCATAACAGTCATCAGAGTCAATGAACACGAATATAACTACTCCTTTAGTTTGATTCTCTACATTGTTTTCTCAGGCTTTCCTGTGGTAGGTAGATGAGCACTGCAAGTTAGCTAGTTTCATATTGTCTTTTATGCTTACAAAGATACTTCAAGTTATGAGGTGAGATAGAGATAATAGTATAAAATAATAATACAAATAATTCACATATTGAGATATAGATAATAGATTTAATGTTGAACTGTGGGATCTTGAATTACAGTCTACACATAACTCATACTTTTCTTTTTGATGTGATTTTATTCATATGACTTCAACAATCAGAGGTAGAATCAGAGGTTTGTTGCTTTTATGATTCTGAAGGTTGTTTATGAACAATAACAATGACCTTTGTGTTTTGATAGTATTTGATATTAGATATGGTTGAATTACTCTGACCTTACTTGCCAAATAGCTGTTAGTTATCAAAGTCTGTTATTACATATATAGACAAACCTACTTAAACCGAGTTCCCTCTTTTCCACACCTTCCTGTTTGAGAGTTAGATTTCAATGTGAAATTGAAAAAAAACTCTGGCAGATATTGTCTGGGCTAATTTCTTCTGTTAATTTGTAATAAAAGGCTGCTCTCAAATACTTTTATTTGCTCTACATGGAAATTCCTTCATCTTGTAGACTGTGGAGCAGCACAGATTTGGAAATTGGGAGGTATTGCAATCTTACTGTATTGCAACCCTATTGTAATACATTACTAAGAAATAATTATCAATAGTACAAAGTAATGTCTTTAGTAGGAATACTGGATCCAAGACTCCAAGTTCTGAAAAAGATACTCATATAGGGGTTCACAGCAAATCACACAAGAGTTTTGAACCTTTCCTGGTCATAAGTAATACTCAGGTAACATGGTGTTTTAAAAACATTCCAAAAACAAACAAAAACAGACAGTCAACATTGTTTACTAACACACATACAAAAAAAGGGAAAACAACATCATGACTGTCTAATTGCACACTAAAAACAATTGACCTCTGACTTTGCAATGTCACTGTATGGAGATTTCTAGAGTTTAATTTTAACTTTTACTTTGTTAGAACTGGACACTTGTCTGATCATACCACCTATTGCATAGGTCTTGTAGAAGATATTCTTCAGAAAGTTACTGTTCCCCTAATGTCAAAAGAGGAATGCCAGGCAAGATACCGGAAGCGCACACTAGATGACAATGTGATCTGTGCTGGCTATGATGAAGGTGGAAGGGATGCTTGCAAGGTAATGGAAAGAAGTCACATATAGTAATGTATTCCAAACATATGTTTAAATATATAATTGGATACCATAATAACATGTTTAATTTTCATAACAAAAATATATTTATAAATAGAGCTGTTTAACATATCACTTTTGCTTTCTGAAAGCACTGATAATCAAGTTACGTGGAGAACGCTTCTTATGTGACATCGAAATCCTCAGGGATAGACTTTATGTGGCTCCAGATAAAAATACTGAGTGTATACATATATAGAGAGAGACACACACACTCCTATAGTGTCTCCTACAAAGGGAACAAAGTTAACTTCCCACTTTGTGTTTCAAGTTAAGTATTGAGACAAAATTCATTGGTTTCCTAAGAATTATATCACTTTTCCTTAAAAAATAATAATGGTGAAAAGCAAATATAAGAGAGAATAAAGTACAAATTCTCACTCTTGTCCAATTAGGGAACAAAACAGTATTCCTTTAAAATATGGGAAATCCATAGAGAGCAAGTATAATATTTCAAAACATTTCTCCAGTAACACAGATTTCCTATGTGATGTTTTTATTTCTTTATATGAAGCTTATTTTAAAGCATCCGCTATCCATAATCACCCAGAAGGGAGGGTGCTGGATAAGGGGAATGGAAGGCTAAAGACAGCTTGAACAGACTGGTCTGTTCATTACAAGAAATGAAAATGTCACAGCAGTGTGAGGTCAGTGAGCCAAATTCTCTGCTTGAGAGTAAACTCATGCAATTCTATTAACTTAAATATTTTGAGTTAATTATAATCAAAACAAATATTGTCTGATTAGTAGCATATTTTTTCAATTTAAACATTTAACAGTTGTGTTCTATATTTATGCACTGTTTCTATTATCAGTATTAGGTATTCAGGAATAATAATTCTTGGAGCTGGGAAGTAATTTTTCCTCAATGACAATTAATCTTTATCTGATACAGCATAACAGAACATGGGGGTGATGTTATAAGAAAATAATACACTTGTTGTTCTCCCAACAGTTCATAACAGCTACAATAAAGAACCCAGTGTTCAGAAAGATCAATTTGAAATAGGAAAACAAATGTGTTTTATCCCAGGGAGGACAGAGTCAGTCAAACAAGACAACATACAGAACTGAGATTTACATACCAAAAACAAAGTTATAAGAAAAAGCATTGGCAAATTTACTATTTTTCTCATTTGTTGATGTGGTCTTTGTTGGGTGTTAAATCAGTGAATATAGATAAGTCAAAAACAAACAAAAGAATGAGCAAAACACCAACAGTTTTGAACCTTAAAGGAAAATGAAAATAATTTGCAATGATTGGAAAGTATTTAGAAGTAATTTTACTAGATAAATAGAAAAATGTCTACACTCTCTGAAGCAGGTATAAGTGAAAGTAATAGGCAGTTATGCTGGTATTAACACTGAATGATACTGATTTTTTTCAAGGCTTTCTTTGAGAGAGAAATACTGATGAGAGCTGTTCCTTGTGTACTCTTGTCTTTTTCTTTTGTGACACAGGGAGACTCAGGAGGACCACTGTCATGCAAGCATGAGGAGGTGTGGTATCTTGTGGGCATCACCAGCTGGGGTGAAGGGTGCGCTCGCCCCAGGCAGCCCGGAGTCTATACAAAAGTTGTTGACTATCTAGACTGGATTCTAGAAAAAACTACATAGTGTGAGTGTAATCTACTTGGCTCGAAGTGATGTCATGGAATAACAACTCCAGGAGCAATGTGATGACGTGTATTAATGTTTTTTAAATGGTGTTTCATGTTAGCTTGAAACATAAAGAACTTGATTAAAGAAGTGGAAAAGCAAGAATAAACAAACTTTACAGTCAATAAAAAACAGTAGTAAAAATAAACTCTTTGGTCACTGATTTGGCTGAAAAAAAATATATATATACCTGAACCATTAATTTCTTTTGATCTTGATAGTATATAATATTCTGTGGGACTTGTTCAGTGAGGCCAGGGTTTTACAGTTTAATTCAGTGAAGGCAGGAACTTCTGCTCTTATGCAAAAATAACTTACATGAAAGTTGATTAAGATAAATTATTAGAAGGCAAGGAAAATCTGACCTGGCATTACCAGTCAAAAGGTTCAGTGATAATTGAAGAAACTCCCTTAGTTACAGAATAATTTTATTTGTTTCACCTTAAAAACATCAAGACAGCTCTCTCCTGTTTCTTTTTCTCCTTTTTCTCTATTTTTTTTTCCTTATTTTTAGTCAAGTAACAAATACGTTTCATGGTCCGAATTAACACTAATATGAGAAACAGCAGTCAAAAAATTATTATTTTTTTTTTCTATTGTAATTAGTATTTCACACTGGATCATAAAGAAAGGTACATTTGTCTTTTGCTTTTGTCTTTGGTGAACTTCATGACCTTGTTTTCTAATCATATACGTTACCTTAATTGCTGAAAATACATTGTAAATCTCTATTCATGGTTGCTGCACAACCACAGTCAGTGTGTTGTGGAAGTCAACAACAGCAGAGTCTTTAGGAATAAATGACATTATGAAATTCAGAATGTTAAACTAATGGAAAAATAGTCATCAAGCTGCTGTAAATGAGTTCAGCATTTCAATTTTTTGATGTTTTATTTGCAACTAACACTGAACAAAAATGCAAACTGGTACAAAAAATTGTATCTAACTATACAAAGAGCCCCTGCTGTCAGAGTGCTTCCTGGGACATGCAGTGCCACAGCTGTATTCAAAAGGTGTTGGGCTTTTTTTTTTGTTCATTTTTAAAAAATACACATTCAAAGCAGTGATGAAAACAATCTAGATCTAACAAGAGGCTAGAGGGAATGGTGGTGCTGCAGGCACATCTAGGGAAAGTAGAGTAATGCCTTCCCCTCTCCTCGTAGTGGACTCTCAGGAACATGGTCTTGAGTGGTGCACAGTGCTTGAGGCCTCCTGCTTTGGGAGCCCCCATGCTGGCTGTAGGTATTCAGGATGCCAAAAGACAAAGTCTGGCATGCAGTGGGAGAAAGGGGGGAGAGAGAAGGCAGAAGTAGACAACATGCAGAAGTAGAATGGGAGATAAAGGCGGGGGCTAAAATTGTCTTCATGCTCTGTTTAATCCAAGCCTGGTTTGAAAGGTCAGCAATTCTCAGACATGCTGTCAAAAACTCAGAGACTTAAATGAGGGACTGGGAATGAGTAGGAAAAAAAAATGAAAGCATAAATGCAGCCAAAACAAACAAACAAAAAAACAACCACATTTCTGGCATTCAAATGTGGTTCTGTCCTCATGGGGAAGCAGTGAAAACTGCTAGAAAAGATCTGCTGAAGAAACAAAGGAAATACTTCAGTGTGCTAACAGAGACTGAAACTCTCAATTAAGATCCATCGGGAGACCATCTGAAATCCTCACCTGCCAATACTTCAGCTAAATTTGTTTTTGCTAAAGAGTACATGCTATGTCATACTGATAACCTTTAATGCTTTCTCATAATAATGTTGTCAGCAGCTTCATTTCCAAATGTGCACAAAATGCAAGTCTGTAAGTTGTGGTTTATTTATTTATTTATTTATTTTTATTTTTTATTTTCTTTCATTTTGTTTTGTTTGTTTGTTTTCTGCTGTGAGATTTTCCAGCTATCAGAGTAATGAAGAGGAATAGCACTAGCTTTGCTCTGCAGTGCTCTGGAGCTCCATATTTGTTTCTTAGAGATGGACCTCGTGACAGCAAATTGCCAAAGGAAACTTAGCTCTTCCTGTGGAAGGGATAAGGGGTCTCAGTGACAGCAGATATACTTCATGGCTAGTTTTTGACCAGATAAAATATCTTACTGTAATATATTTTAATCTAGAGCAGATATTCTTCAATGAAATTTTGCATCACTTTTCTGTTCATCCACAGCAAATTCCTGATAGCTAAAAGTAAGTAACAGGGACAGATTTTATGTGGAGAATGAGTGAGTTTGTGATAGCTATATGTAGTCCTTATGACTTCATTTAAGAGAAACTTAATAAAGTAACACATGACCTTTCTGTGCAATCATTCATCAGTGTAATATGTAATTAAATGAGAACTTTATACTCATAGAAATGTATCAGTGTTAATAAGTGCTATCTTGCTTAGCCTTTCTGATATCAATAAGTAGCTTGCCATAAATGAGAGGCAGTTCATCACTTTTATTTCATCTCCCTTCTCCCCTTCTCCTCTCCCTCCATAGTGAAAACAAAACAAAACAAAACACCAAAACCAAAATGAAACAACAAACAAACAAACAAAAACCACCACAAAACCTCTCTCAGTCTCATTAAAGAAAAAATTGACCTTCTACTTTAAATCTGCCCTGGTTTATGCACTTTAGTTACTTTAGTTGTTATTTAGATTAATGGTTAGTGTCTCTTGCAGAGTCTTATATTCAGCTATTTAGTTATAGTGAAAATCAATACAGATCATAATCTCACAACAGATTGGCAGAAATCTTGCAAGGGGCAAGCACCACTGATGATGTGCTGAATGGCAGCATTAGTCTGCCCTGAGACTGTACAAATAAGATCCCTCATTTTAGAAATTTATAGTCTCATTCAGGCACACTTTATACAAGTGGAGATAGTCTGGAGGGCAATTTGTTCGTTGTAAAATAAGGCAGGCTGCAGAGCTGCTAAAGTGGACTCTTCAGCTTGTAATAGCCTTCATTGTAGTCATTTTAATAAGATTGTAAACCAGACAAAACTAGTTTCCCATTAAATTGGTGTTGCATTGTGTTTTCAGTCATTGCTGTTGCTTTGCCTTATGTCTGAGACTGAAACATGTCTTGGAAGTGACCTGAGCTAGCTTCTAGGAAGAAGACATGATGCCTCTCATTGCTTTTGCCCAGATAAATTAAAAATTCTTAATGATGAAGATGTACAGAGACCAACAAGATCTGTGCTTCCACAGAAGGGCAAAAGGGAATAATTTGTTATAAACTTTTAGTATAAGCTTTATTTATTTTTTGAAAAAAGATTATTTGGCTGTGCTGAAAACTGCATCTCAGATGCTGAAAACTAAGGAACTGAAAAGAATGAATGTAATTCATGGCAGCAGTTTTTATAGTAGGAAGCTCACTCAGTTAAATTAAAATGTGGATTCTTATTCCCTGCCTAATTTCCAGTGTGTATGGAGTATTCTTTGGAAAATTATTGCTAGATCATATAATTTGTGAAATATCTGCATTGTAACATATTAAAATTCATTTCCACATCAAGTAGAGGGCAAGATTAATTTTGCTCTTTGAACAATAATAGCAGATGTGAAATATTGACTATTCCTAGTCAAGCATTTTTTTGAGTAATAAATTATTAATTTTTCCTGTGGTTTTTGTATTGTAAATTGATATAGATATTTATAGGTGTATTATTGATATTTACATATCTATTATAGTTACTGAGAAGTATTGTATGGTATAATGAATTGTTTAGTAAGAGTTGTGCAGTGAAGATGTAAAACATGTTTTACATCTTACCATTTTTTAATTTTCACAGTATTCTACAAAAGAGCAGGAATTAGTCTTTAGAAATTAACAAGCAAAATAAGAATCAATGCAAGATGATGAAAGACCAGCCCAAATGTGCTCATATTGGGAACCTGAAACAGACAACGTGATGGAGCACTTAGACATCGCTTCCTGCTCCTCATGACCATACCTCAGGAACTTAAAGATTAATGAAATATAGTGCAGAAATGTGCTTAATTAATGTTTAATTAGTGCTGCACTAATGTGCAGAAATGATCTTGAGATGGTGAGGTGCAGTGGCTTCCCATGGAGGACAGAGAGAGGGAGTAGAGCAGAAAGACTAATGTGTGTCAGCTTACAGCTGCTTCTCTCTTGTTGACTTTCTAAGATCTTTCTGTTTTGGCAGATGTCTTGAAGCCATAAAACTGTGCCCGACCATGGAATGCAGCTACTTTTCCAAACGATCTTTTTTTGTGAGAAATGTAGTGAACAGTGAATCAATCTTGTACGAAGTGCATATCGGATGAGTTTACATAGGCCAAAACTTTGGATTTCAGAGAGTACAAAACTTTAAGATGGGCAGAATGGGATGGTGGGAGCAACCAAAACAACTATAAATATGAAAAAGAAATTAAATAAAGAAAGAGGATGTATATACCTCTTTCCAGTAAAGGTATCCTGAATATCTACAGAAGTATTAGTACGGCTCTGAGCAAGCTTCTGTTTTCTTCACAGCATGTTCAGCTAAAATTTCAGGGAAAAAGAGAACTGTTTTGATGTATTCTAAAACGTTTCAAGGGTTTTGTCACTAGGTGGCACTTTTGCTCTAATTTGTCTTATGTTCAGTCGCCATGGTGAGAAAAGGAACTTGGTTTAGTATATCTTTTTTCAGAGTGTGTTCAATAGAACTAAAAAATATATTTTAATTCATATATCTACAGCTGAGAAATAATAGTAAATGATTAAATTAGCATCTTCATTTGTAGATCTCAGAGAGTTCACAGTGAATGGATATGT